CATCTTCACAACAGATTTTGCGTTTGCAAAAATGTTTGGATGTGCGAAATGTGAAGAGATTTGGATTTTTATTTCGCCTATTATGAGCATTTTATCTTTCAAAATTTTGAACCCTTTGTGGGGAAAGTACTAGAAAGAGTATCGCAGCAGATATTGTGTTAGTAAAAATAATGACATGTGTGAATTTTGAAGTTGACCGGATGCTTATTACGGATTTTATAATCGTTTGGGTTATTCAAAAGTTGGACCCTTTGTGGGGAATGTACCAGAAGGAATGGTCCGATCTCTACCATCTTTATAACAGATCTTGTGTTGATGGAAATATTGAGATGTACCAAGTCTAAATGGAATCGGATGTTAATTTCTTGGATAATTTCTTCATGGATACTCAAATATTTCACCCTTTGGGGGGAGGTACCAGAAGGAGTGGACCAATATATCCCATCTTTAAACCAGACTTTGGGTTATCAAAAATATTGTGATGTGTGTAATTTGAAAAGAACTGGATGCTTTTTACGGATTTTATGATAGTTAAGGTTATTCAAAATTTTGACCCTTTGTGGGGGAGGTACCAGAAGGAATGGTCCGATCTCCATCACCTTTATAACAGATCTTGTGTAGATGAAAATATTGAGATGTGCTAAGTCTGAATGGAATCGGATGTTAATTTTGAGCTCCTATGACCTTCATAGATATTCAAAATGTTGACCCTTTGTGGGGGAGGTACCAGAAGGAGTGGACCGATATACTCCATATTCACACCAGACCTTGGGTTAACAAAAACATTGTAGTTTGAAGACAATCGGACTGTTACATCACATTTTATAAAAGTTATAATTATTCAAAATTTAGACTCTTTGTGAGGGAGGGACCAGAAGGAGCTGACCGATATATTTCATCTTCACACCAGATAAAATATTGTAATGTGTGCCAATCCGATACTTACATCTCATTTCATAAGTGTTATAATAATTCAAAATTTTGACTCTTTGTAGGGGAGGTACTGGATGGAGGGGACCGACATTGTCTATTTTTGCACCTGACCTAGAACTGATGCAAATATTAGGATGTGCAAAGTTGGAGCAATATCGAAATTATTTTCTTTAAAAATTTTTACGTTTTGTGGGGAGCTACCAGAAGGAGTTGGCCAATATTGCCCATTTCTGAAATCGAACTAAGTTTGAAAATAAGATTACAATGTATCAAGTTTGGGTCAAATCGGATACTCCCTTCGAGAGTTATCATGCACACCAGCCTGACAAACGGACGGCCCGACATCGCTAGAGCGACTCCAAATGTCCAAAGAGACCTAGTGTCTAAAACCGTTAAACTAAAACGTTTTGGCCATATCAAGTGAAATTTGCCCTCTCTAGCCATATGGCTGAGGGCATAAAAATTATTGTCTCCCAAAGTGTGCAAAACATATGTTGTCCAAACGTTGTGCCATGTTCATATAAAGTTCAATCCAACCGATCATATGCTAAAAATTTATTTCAGCAGCAGTTTCTATTCCCCCCTTTGAAAATAGGCAAGATTTCAAATTACTTTTGTTTAAATTTCAAATAATCACGTTTATATTAAATAAATTCTAACACATCCATAGGCCTATACGAAATACGTTATTATGGGTTCAATGACACCATCACAACTACGTCGCAGTAAATAATTTGTGCCAAAAAAAAAAACCAAAAACCATAGAGTCAAAAAATCAAAATAGAACAAACATTTTATGCTCAAACAAAGCAAAAGAAGGCAAAAAACACAAACTTTCAAAACAAAAAGAAAGCAAACAAAAATGTTGAAAGAGAAAAAAAATTACAGGAAAAAAGAAGGGGGAGGGCCATAGTTGGTTAGGTTCGATAAATGGGTGGCTGGAAAAACTGAAAAAGAATGAATGAATAGAAGTAATGGCAAAGCATAACAAAGTAAACTAAAAGTAAATGCTGCTACCACAGAAGACGCAGAAGGAGAAAAAAGTAAACCCCAAGTAAGTGGGAAGGTTATTGTTACTTGTGCCGAAGCCAATAAACTCTTGACGTTTTCTAGTTCCTCGATATCGGTCATACCACACAACAAAACAAAGACCAACAACAACAACAACAACAAAAATTGCCAACAAGGGTTGAAGTAAGTACGTAGTATGTGTAGATTATAGGTACGTAGATAGGTACGTCAACAACAAAATTCAGTCCAACCCCACCAGCGCCACCTCCCGTTAACAGTAGTCCACAACACAACAAGAAAACACAACAAAAAAGATATCATGATAAAGAAAAGGTTCGCTTTGACCAGTTTTTCTCCCCGTTGCATTGTTGAATCATTTAATTTTGTTTACTTTTTTTAATTTTTAACCAGTTTTTCCATTTACACAAAGATGATTTTGTTTTATCTCTCTTTCGTTTTTTGGTTAATTTAAATAATTTTGTTTTGTTAATTTGCATTTCTCTCTGTTGTTGTCTTTCTGTCTTCCAGATTTGGGCAGTAGGTATATTTTTGGTAATGAACAATGTGAGAGCATTCCTATTGTTGTAACCAAAAATGTGTTATTTTTGGGTTGCTGCGTTGGGAAAATCAGAGATAAGAAAGACAATTGTTAAGTCTTAATCAATAGCTATTACAAACATGCACACGTGTCACAAACGCATATGTTGGGTGGTGGAATATTTTTATTTCCCCCCTTTCCTTTGATAAGGCACCAATAAAATAGGTCATGAATAAATTGCATATTTCATGAAGTAGATAAAGGTATATATTTCAATATTGCATATTGGATTTTTTTGTTATTTGCATTGAAAACGCAATGACAAGGATTCGAATAAAATAGAGATACCTGAAATATTCAGCACCATATTACCATAAAAGTTTCCAATTGAAAAAATATACATCAGGGTTTTAAGATAAAAAAATATATTCCATATGTCAAAGATCGTTGTAAATGATCACTGATACCAATTGCGATAAGAAGTAAATTTCCATAATTAAGTATTTAGAGCTCGATATGCCTGTATGAACAGAATACTTTGTTTGGAAGAATATCTTCTAAAAATGACTTGAATGAATGAAGTTGTCAGGGCACTGTAATAAAGCATTATTGGTAATAAAATTTCCAAAAAAAAAACTGAAAATCTATTATTTTTGCCGGAAGTCAATAAAAAATGTTTTGACAAAAATCCTTGCAAAAGAGATTTTTAAAAATACACAATTTTTGACAAGAAGACCCTTAAAAACAATTATTGAAACATTACAAAGTTTAATCAGGAAGTTCATAAACAAAATATTTAACAAAAAAATATATAAAAATTTTTAACAAAAATATATTTTTTTGGCTAAAAATTAAAAAAAAATATATATATTTTTTTGGCTAAAATATTAAAAAGAAAATATTTTACCGGACTTTTTTAAATGTTCTAGCTAGAATTCTGGCAGATCCATTTTAAGGTGTTGATCAGCTCATCGATTTGTCCAAAAAAAGTTGGCAAACAACAAGTAAAAAAGCTGTAATTTCCGAAGGCCCGAACTTTAAATACCCGCCAACATTTGGAAGGAATTTGCAATTAAAAAAAATCCGTTAAAATCTTAAAAATAACGAATTTAGCCGTTATATTTGGCAATTTTTGTCATAAACCATTACAATATTCAAATGAAAAAAATCGTAGAATAATGTAGCTAAAATCATGAAAATGCCGAACATAAAGAGGTACTGATATATAGGGGCTATACGAAGACGTGGACTTGCACAGACAATTTTCTGTCTCGAGCTGTAGTATCCATTTTGAACTTCAAATGCCAAATTTGAAACAATTCCGGTGAATAATGTCGCTAAAATCCTCAAAATACCGAATATCGGGATGTACCGTTATATGGGGCTATACGAAGACGTGGACCTGCATAGACAATTTTATGTTTAGGCTGTAGTATCCATTTCGAACTTCAAACACCAAATTTGAAACAATTCCGGCGAATAATGTCTCTAAAATCCTCAAAATACCCAATATAGGTAGGTACTGTTATATGGGGGCTATACGAAGACGTGGACTTGCACATACAATTTTCTGTATCAGGCTGTAGTATCCATTTCGAAATTTAAATGTCAAATTTGAAACAATTCCGGTGAATAATGTCGCTAAAATCATCAAAATAAAGAATATCGGGAGGTACTTTTATATGGGTGCTATATGAAAACGTGGGCCTACATGGCCCAATTTCAATACCAAAAGTCCTGCAGACATAATACACATTTGAGTAACATTTTATCAACCTACTTCATTTCGTTCGGAAGCTAGAGTGATTTCCACAGACGCAAAGACGGACGAACGCACGAACATCGCTTGATCGACATAGAATTTTATGCTGATCAAGAATGTATATACTTTGTGGGGTCTATATTTTGAGGTGTTACAAGCGGAAGGACAAACATAATATACCCTCCATACTATGGTGGAGGGTATAAAAATCATAAATAGGCCCGGAAATTGTTCTGTGAAAAGCATCAAAAGTAACTAAGTATCTACACACCTGACCTCCTTCTGCACGAAACTAACCTGTGCACAGTCAAAATTCCCCATGTCACAGTGTGGTGTAGGGTATTCATAACAGCTATATGGCAAACAATTTGCTCTGAACAAAACTTTGCATTATCATGCCCACAACTGAATATGTATACATTTCCCAGATTCTTGAATGTGTTAGTGTAGATGCAATTTCAAAATCAGCTGATTTGAAAAAGCACCTCAAAACAACAACAGAAAAAAGTATGAAAAAAGGTAACAATAATTTAAAAAATTATAGAAATTTCTTACTCTTTTTCCAATATGGACTCTATGTATATTTTATTCAAACATGGAATAACCCCACATCTCAAAAGCGAAAACTACCCAAATATGGTTGATTGTCATCAACCCTTTCCTCACCCATGATCAAGTTGACAAAGCACCTTTCTTCTATGAGTTTCCAAATGGAAAACAATTTAAACAACAAAAAAATAATTAAGCTGACGTTACCTGTTTCAGAGACTGCTGATGATGGTCGTGCTGCGTCTGTTGTTGTTGTGCTGTTTCACCCAAAGTTCCTGAAGGTGGTGGTTGTACTGCAGTTGTTGTTAATTGAGGTTGACTCAAATTCCTGGTAAATTTCCTATTTCCTTGATGATGGGTATCATTCCTAGATTTAACATTGCCCATTAAAATTTTTGCAAGTAATTTGAAAAAAGCTGGGGGGTTTTGCACACAAACACAATCTAAAAAACACTGCAAGCAAACAATGTTATTTTTTTCTTTTGTTGTTCTAGACTCTTTTCCTTGTTTGCATTTATTATTGTTTTGATAGATATTTTATTGTTGCTTCGTTTTTTGTTCATTTATTTTGAAGGGAGAATTTGTTTCTGTTTGTCCAAATCGAAATGCCTCTTTTCAAGTTTCACACCTTAAAATCCACTAAAATTGTCTTTTCTTGCTATAAAGTCATTTTTCAGAAGAAAGATTGAAAATGGTCTCCCTATTGAAATTTTTTTGTGTTAGATTTCTTCGTTTTTTTCTCCTGCTTGATGATTTCGTATAGGGATAGTTAGGTCAAATTTTGACTATCGTTAATCGATTACTTAAAAATCGAATAATTCAATAATGACAGCTGGAATTTAATGGTGTTGCCAACCTAAAACTTTGTTGGTGGCAAGGGATTTAAAGATCCAATATGCACCAATTTGGGTTCGTTAGTTGAGTTTCAAAACATACTTTTAATTTTTTGCTCTGTTCCAGAACCTGTAAGAATCTACTAGTCTTGCATTTTTTGTCAATATCATAAAGGGAATACCAGTTATCGTAGTATAAAATTGTACATTCTTGCAGTTCGATAACCAAAAAAAGCAGAGAAGTAAAGCATATGTCCTTCTCTTTTGGTATATAAAAATAATATGGTATGCTTATCCACTTCTGATTAACTTGTCTATCTAATTTTGAAATTTTTGCATATTAAAGCGCCTGTATGCCATAAATTTCATACGATTTGCGAAATCCTGCAATAAATACATTTGCTTTAATCCAGAATTGCAAGATTGTAAAATTTTTTTTACCAGGATAACCGTTTTTTTCTTTATAATATCAAAAAACTTGCAAAAATAGTAATTTCTAGTACTTTCACCTTAAATTCGCTCTCGAACCCTGGAAATAAGGATCACCGATCCAAAGAGGTGCGCTGAGTATTTTAACCCACAATTTGTCAACCACCCCGAGAGCGACAGAGCAAAGCGAAGAGTACTATGTCGTATCGGATCTCTTCCAGCCGAGGACGAACCACCCCAGTTTACGATGGTTGATGTTTCAAATGTCATCCGGAGCGCTAAATCATCCAAAGCGTTGGGCCCAGACTGAATCTCAATGGTAATGCTGAAACGGCGAAAGTTCTCAACCTTTCCCTAGCCACCCACATAGTTTCCGAAGTCTGGAAAAAGGCCCGGGTGGTCCCGCTACTGGAGCTAGGCCAGCATGCCAGCAAAGGCGAATCGTACAGGCCGATTTCGCTTTTGTGGCAAGTAGCTAAGACTCTCGAGGCTTTACTCCTCCCCATCATTAGAGGAAGGACGCCATTGCCACACATATTATTATTAGAGGATTGAACCAGAACAAGCCGTGTGACAAAACAGTATTGGTAGCCATTGGAATATTAAAGGTATTTGATAGGTCAATCATGCCACACTGTTTGAGAACGTGCAGAGAAATACTCTCCGGCCAAGTTTGAAACGTTGGATAATCAACTATGTGGACGTCAGTCGAACGTGGAATTCCGGAACAATAATTCCAAAGTCCGTAGAGTGGAACAGGGAGTTCCCCAAGGTTGGGCGTTATCTCCGGAACTGCTTAGCCTTTCCGGAATTCCTCGCCCTCCAGGCGGCATAGAGATCGAAACGTATGCGGAAGATTGTACGATCATGGTGTCAGGCAAAGTGGTCACTCTTTACCACATGGTCTGAGAGATGAGAACAAACTTGAATGTGCAGGTCGAGGAAAATTTTGAAACCGACCACGAACTACCCCAGGATTCTAGGGATCAATTCTACAGCATGTTCAAGTCGTCCGCGCAAACCACAGCTATCTGCCGCAAGATGAATAGTAGGAACAAGGTCCTCTAGGTGATAGCCTGCAGCACTTGGGTGCGGACAAGGAAACCTTTTTGATCTCTTATAACGCGCGGTCTGTGGTCATCTATGCGGTACTAGTGTGGTCTGCGAATACTAATCCGACGCAGTGGAATCACATCCAGACCTGCCAGAATGCTGCCCTGAGAACTGCTACTGGATGCTTCCTCATGACGCGAAAGTCCTTCCCTCACGTCAACATAATCATATGCTTTCGTTGCAGTACCTGCTTGGGTGTTACCGTGAGAGTCATCGCAACCAACATATGGTGGATACAACTCCCCCACCCAGGCGTATCAGGAAGAACATACACGATCTAGAGGGGGAGGTCCAACGCTATAAGAGAGAACCTCTAGATCAAGAAGCCTATCAGGCAGGTCTGAGTGACATTAATATCGCAGGATGAATGCCGTCCTCGGAATCCACGCCACCTACATTGCAGCTGAAGAACGCCAGGTGCCAATAAAAACCAGGGTAGTTTTGGCGTAATTACGTTCAGGATGGTGTAGCCGTTCTTAATTCTCTTACACATATTAATGAGTAAACAATTCCAGAAAGTCTTGCAACATGGGCTTTCCCTGATTTGTTCTTAAGGAAGAAGATAGAGAGCCCTTTTGTTAAAATATTCTTTTTGTTTCGTATAAACACCACATTTTTTTTAGCTAAAATGAATTTCTAATAACTCACAGAATATAGCCACGTTACGTCTGCACTAACTGTGCAATGCATACAAATGATGTGGCATCACTGTCGTAAACAACCACCAACTTCACTCATAATAAAAAAAACCAAACCTCACAAACACCAACAGCCAGCACCGCTAATTTTTCCAAAAGGATTACAGGAGTTTTTCAATAAAAAATATAAATTTTCCATTGCTCACAACAACAGAAAACTCCTGTACCCGTCAAATAATACAACACATCCATCATGGATATGAGTTTAGATGATATAATAAAGAGCAAGAAGATTGCTGTGGCCCCATCTAAACGATTGTAAGTTTTGTTCTACGTCAAGCAACCAACCAACCTACCAACGCATCAAAAGGATTACAATAAGAAAATGGCGTTGTGAAAGAAAAACATTTTTATTGGAAATTTATTGAACACATTCTCTTTGCATTTCTTTTAGGGCCGTGAAAAAACCACCATTGAGAAAAACCCTAAATAGGCCGGCGTTCAAGGAAGCTGCTCGCATTACAGATGCTCGTATGAAAATCATACAGAAAAATCGTGCCAAAATTCGTGATGCCAGAGACAAGTTGGTGGAGATAACACGTAACAATGGTGATGTGCGTAAGAAGTTGTCCCAAAAACAAGATTTGATTTCATCCAAGCCACCATATAAGGCCAGCAGTTTTAAATACAGTCGATTGGGAGGTGATGTTGGCGGCCGGATTGGTGGAAAACTTGCGGCCGATGGTGGGGGTTTGAAGACACGTAATGCTGGCTATAAATCTTCGCTGTCCACAGCATCGCTGCGTCGTAATGAGGTATTGGAAATCCCCAGGGGTTATGTTGATTATGACAACATGGAGAAAATGGAAGAAGGTAAGGTGGTTATATTCATTAAAAAAACAGAGAAGGTTGGCTTTTTCTTAAAGCTGAGGTTGTTTAGGTGGCTTCAAATTAAATTGATGGAAAAAAAAGTTTCCAAAGGATTTTACAAATTTTCAATTCCCAATTTATTAATCTGTAATATTTTATTTGAAGACTTGTCGGCATAAGTTGAGTTTAGGGGCTATGCTTGGATTGACCTGAAATTTTTACCGCAGGTAGGTATTTGTAACCTGATTACGGCAATATAATTTTTTTGTGGGGGAAATACCCGGTTACCCGGTTATTCGACCCAAAAGTTCGGATACAACATCCGGTTTATATCCGGTTCTACGTAACCGATATCAATAATATGGGTATCATTTGAAAGCTTATGAAAATATCTATCCAACAAGTGGTCATATGACGGGGTAATTGGAACCTGTTTCGGAGAAATTTAGGAAAATGTGCATTTTTGTATGAGTAATTTTTGAAAAACCCATAAAAACTCGAAAATGGACCCATTATAGGGTCTTAAAATCTATACACAATATTATAGCTAACACTATTGCCTTTCCAAAATGGTGTCATATGTGTTGATATCTTTTGTGGTTCCGTGGATATAAGAGATAGAATTCATTAAATTATATTTTTCTCCAGTCTAGATGCATTTGACTTTGACCTTAATAGCTTTTTTAAGCAATATTGACTTTTAAAGTCGTTACTTATGAAAGCAGTTTGAGTGAACCCAAGTTTTGTGTCGGGTTTAACGTTCTTGTTAATCTGCTTTGTTTTTAATTTGGTGTTGTTAGAATATTATGGATCGCGTAGTCGGTGTTGGACATATCCCAGAGGAGAAAATCTTAAGCCCCGGTCGAAGGCCGGCTACTTACAAAAATTACAATTTTTAGAAAAACTATGGATCGCGTAGCCGGTGTTGGACATACCCCAGAGGAGAAAATCTTAAGCCCCGGCCGAAGGCCGGCTACTTTCGAAAACTACAGTTTTTAGGAAACTATTGATCGCGTAGCCGGTGTTGGACATACCCCAGAGGAGAAAATCTTAAGCCCCGGCCGAAGGCCGGCTACTTACAAAAATTACAATTTTTAGAAAAACTATGGATCGCGTAGCCGGTGTTGGACATACCCTAGAGGAGAAAATCTTAAGCCCCGGCCGAAGACCGGCTACTTACAAAATGTACAATTTTTAGAAAAACTATGGATCGCGTAGCCGGTGTTGGACATACCCCAGAGGAGAAAATCTTAAGCCCCGGCCGAAGGCCGGTTGCTTAAAAAAGCTATTAAGGTCAAAGTCAAATGCATCTAGACTGGAGAAAAATATAATTTAATGAATTCTATCTCTTATATCCACGGAACCACAAAAGATATCAACACATATGACACCATTTTGGAAAGGCAATAGTGTTAGCTATAATATAGTGTATAGATTTTAAGACCCTATAATGGGTCCGTTTTCGAGTTTTTATAGGTTTTTCAAAAAGTACTCATACAAAAATGCAAATTTTCCTAAATTTCTCCGAAACCGGTTCCAGCAACCCCGTCATATGACCACTTGTTGGATAGGTATTTTCATAAGCTTTCAAATGATACCCATTTTATTGATATCGGTTACGTAGAACCGGATACAAACCGGATGTTATATTCGAACTTTTGGGTCGAATAACCGGGTAACCGGGTATTTCCCCCACAAAAAAATTACATTGCCGTAATCAGGTTACAAATACCTACCTGCGGTAAAAATTTCAAAATGATCCGAGCATAGCCCCTAAACTCAACTTGCTCCCTTGCTTCCTATGATAATGGTTATCTAAATCGTTTGTGGGTTAAGTGTGTAATAAAGATAAAGCTGTCTTTATGAGGAAAATCAATACCTACTTGTCTTGATTAGAGACAAATCAATCCTAGTGAGCGTCACGGATCATATATAAAAATGATCCATAACCTCAGCAAAATTATTTTGTTATACAGATCTAGTCTTCCGCTATACGCACGTCCAATTTTTTTATTTTTTTTTTATAGATTCTATAAATATTTTTAGAATCCACCAATATCCAATATTACTGGTACCCATACTGCTGCATGGGTACCAGTAATATGCCCTAATTACAGCGAGCTCAGTCCGACATTTAGCACTTATCTGTATCTGGACATGACTTCCACAGCATACAATGGAATTCTATTTTCTATTCGCTATTTGGTTCACGTGTCGCTCCAACACAGTGTTTCTCACTGAGTTGTTCAACGAAATGACAGACCGATTTCTTAACGTAATCCTCTTCCTTTAAAACAAACGTTTTGGAGCCTCAAAATGATTTCTTTTACTCAATGGTGTTATTTGAAGTCCTTAGCCGACTTTGTTTAATTTTTTTCCAACAATTTTTATTACAATTTTTTTTCTTTCAGAGGAATATGCCGCTGCCACAAGACTTAGCCGAACTGTGCGGAATGACATGGTCTATGATATGGGATCTTCGACATCCAGACGCCTAGATAGCTGGGGTACAGTTCACAATGATCATTTCGATCCCTTCGATGTTTATGAAGTTCCTCACAATGCTCGTCATGAACGTCGTCTGTCGCCTGAATTGCCACCGCCACCAGCAAAGGGTATTCTAAGATCATCGTTGCGAGATCGCAGTCCAGATCCATATCAGCGACGTTATCCAAGTGAACATTCATCACATCTCTCCTATGAGATGCGTTCACGTTTAGAACGTGCCCCCGATCCACATGCTTCCATGGGTATTTTTTCCAATCCCCTAACACCACCATCACCACCCAATGGTTCATCGTCATTTGGTGGAAGCAAATCTTCGTCATCAGGTTATCGTATAGTTGTTAGTAATTTACATCCCAGTGTAACACAGTCGGATATCAAGGAACTTTTCGAAGATATTGGTGAATTGTATGATTCACGTATTGTGCGACCTGGAGTAGCAGAAATTATCTATAAGTCATTGGCTCACGCTGAAAAAGCCGTAGATACTTATCACAATCGTCAATTAGATGGCCAACCAATGAAGTGTCTTTTGGTTAATCCCAGAGCCTCAAATAAACCCACAGCCCCCGCAATAAGAACTTCAAGGTTTGTCCCACAAAACAATTTGTTTCAATTTCCCTGATTAATCAATTGTCTCCTTTTCTTTTTGCAGTTCACACTCATCGAATAAGACTCCCCTAGAAATTGATATAGATGCTCTACACAAAGTACTGTTCCGACGTCATTAGTTTCGTATTTTCCATTACAAACAAAAGGCAATTTGAAATCATAACATTCACTAAACACAATTATAAATACCATTTTTTAGAAATGTATGTATGTAAATCCTGTTCTCCTTTTCTAAAGCTGGCAAACGCATTTTCAAACAAACTCTTGAAATTACTGAAATATTATTCTAATATTCATACTGAACAAAAGTATACACTTAAGAAAATTCTTAATTAATTTGTAATTTATTCTCCATACTTCTCAGATAAATCACTTCTCCTTTAGTTTATTGTTTTTTCTTTCTTTGATTATTTCTTATAGTTTATTTTATAAGAAGTTTTTTTTCGCTAAGAAGCTTGCCCTAATACGGCGTATATGTTTTGATAGAATGTCATTTTTAAGAATTTGTTTATTTTTTCTTTTTGTTTCGCCTTATAGTTTAGTTTTACAAACAAAATCATTTTAAATTTACATTATCCACGGAAATGATTTAATGTTAGTCTAGTAGTATTCATACTTCATTGGAAAATATTCAAATCAGGTATCCTAAAGAAAATTTCACAGTAAATAATATTCAATTAATCCATAATTTAATATAATAAATCTATATAGAAAACAATAAAAAAAGATACATAGAAATGTATACAAAAACACTAAGGGTTTTGAATTTTTGTAGAATAAGCGAAATGGGATAGGCGTATTTGGCGAATTTGTGGATTTTAAATGTCCTTTCTTCTTATCATCATTTTATTTGATCTTTAATTTAAAATTTCTCTAATTTGTTGGTAGTCTTTCTATGGAACATATCTCGTAATTTTGAGTTTGACCAAAATTTGACTTTATTTTAAATTTCAAATAGGTCTAGTTTTGGGTTGTATGAGAAGTGAGAGTATAGTAACAGAGATGAGAAAATGATGACTTCTTTGGAGTTCACAAAGACATTTTTCATAACCGTTTCATGGATTGGCTTATGGAATGTTTTAGCTTTTTATCACATGCGCCTTTCTAAAAAGATGGGAAAGATCTTAAAGACCTAAATTAAGGCATTCTATAGATTTTTTTTTTAAATTTTGATTTTAGCGCAATTTAGGTAAATATTTCCGAATGCCACCTGTTTATATCAGAACTTTCATTTCCATCATTTTATAATTGGCGGGCACAACTTAGTTTCTATTAAAATTTAGTCGATATCGAATTCAAGCTTCCTTTGGATGCCATCAAAGACTTACAGAATTTTTTTTTGCTTTCCTGGCATTTGCTAATAATGGATGCTTTGCTAAGGGATACTAAAGAAAAATTGGTTAATAAAGTGCGCCTAGGATAATCAAAAAGAACTTCAATGTTACTACGTCGGGTTTTATTATACTGATGGACCCCATTCAACAACATTACATATATGTGTCATCATTTTTCTTCTTTATCAATTTGTATATATTTTTCTGGTGCGGGCACAGCATACGCTTAAATGAATACTCCTTATTCTTTTGCTCCCTCCCGAGAACGAAAAATGTCCTGAACCGAAACCTTGACTCGGGAGACATTTAGATTTCAAATGTGCGGGAAATCAAGCTCCACAAGAATTTCAACCCACAACGTTTTAAAGGGGACTGTGTACTTAGGAAGATATTATCTTGCATTTGGACTACAAAATAAAAAAAAATGAATGGAGATGGTTAACGCATATTTTAAACGGAGAAAACGGAATTCCCCTCCCGTACAGACTACCATTGTCTAGGCATACTCGTGCCATCTTTGGTTGGTGAACTGACAAACTCTTCCTATGTTCGTACATTTCAGCTGTAAACATCTGCTATACTCCTGCTGTATATATTCCAGAGTATTAGAGATAATATTTGTCGATCCATCCGAATAAATCCCAGAGTAAAATAACCGAAATTGGGAAGAAGTGGGAGAAGTGTTGCAACATTGGAATCGGTAAGGCCAAATTTTTGGTTGTTGTTGTTTTATCAGTAGTTCATGTGGATGTTTGTATTCTGGTTATCTGGTTCATGCTCCAGGTTTAAAAATTCGGCTACCTTAACTAGTTGTAATCAGAGATTTTCTGGAGTGAGTTGGATAGGTTTGGCGGTGCAATTAAAGAGGTGCAGCGTATTGTGCGGGCCTGTTTTACCCACCGGATAGACGTCACGCACGTCTTCGTCAATTCGTATCGAGACGACTGCACCATCCTAAACGTGATTGCGCCAAAATTAACCTGGTTTGTCTAGGCATTCTTCAGCTGCAATGGATGGGGGTGGACTCCGAGGACGGCATTCATCCTGTAATTGCTGATAGCAACTGCGACTGCATTAGTGTGAATGTCACTCAGACCTGCCTGATAGGCTTCTTGTTCTAGAGGTTTTCTCTTATGTTGAAGGACTTTCGCATCCTCATATTGATGGTCCACTGGTGTCATGCGTAGCACTAGTATTCGCAGACCAACCTAGAGCCGCATAGCGATCGACGTACGGACTTTGGACTTCTTGTTCCGGAATTTGACGTACGACAGGCGTCCACACATATAATTGATTATCCGACGTTTCAAACTTGGCCGGAGGGTAGATCTCTGCACGTCCTCAAACAGTGTGGCTTCCTCTAATTTAGGGAGGAGTAAAGCCTCGAGAGTCTTAGCTATTGGCGACGAAAGCGAAATCTGCCTGTACGGGCGACCACCTGACCCATTTTCCAAACTTCGGGAACTATGTGGGTGGCTAGCGACAGGTTGAGAACTTTCTTCAGGTATCCAGTTTTTTTTAGCATTACCACTGAGATTCCGTCTGGTCCAACGCTTTGGATGACAGCGTTTCGGATGCCGCTCTATAGGTACTCGGCAAATTGTAGGTTAAAAAAGTCACTGTTAGGTCCTTAAAAGTGACTGAAGTCCTATCATCCTTTTTTCCAGGGTTCGAGAGTGACTTAGCCGTTACCCACAGATTACTAATATCGGTTCCAATGTCGCAACACTTCAGATGGTCTAGCGCATTTTTCCTCTTATGCTCCTGTACCAACCGGTTGACATCCACTGTCAAATCACTGATTCTAGAATGAGTTGGGTTGAAACGACAGCAAATTTTGGTCGAAATTTTAGTTGCCCTCGGGAAAATATTAAGGGCTTCAGTCACCTAGCACGGTCCCAACAAATATATTGGATACTGATCCGTAAAAGTGAGTAAGTGAGAAGCGAATCAGGGTTGATTTCACCACAGTTGCAAATATTATTCGAAGTCCTAAATCGACTTTCAAATACCAAATTTCGAGAGTTTGACCATTTTCTGCCATAAGAAGTGGTACCCATAACGAACTCCAAATATGAAATTTAAAAAAATTCCGTTGAATTGATTATTTGAATTTTTTGTCCAAGATGGCGGGACCTATTGTAAATTCTGAATACCAATTTTGAAATAATTTCATTGTAAATGTGGCTAAAAAAATCCAAATACTAAATATTGAAGTACCCATGGTACAATGAATACAAGGTAGGCTAACTTTGAAAAAATTTTAAGTATAGAGGTCTACCTGTTTGGCTTGTAATGTCAGAATTACTATCAAACAACTTGTTGCATTGATTTTGAATAAATAATTTAAAACCGCGAAAACTGAATGAAAGGTCAAAATATATGTTCAAAATCATGTTCTATATATCTCTTATGGTTTATTTCGCGACAAAAACTGTAGATTTTGTCGATGCATACGTCGCAATAAGCATTTTGAAAACACCCGAATTTGAATATTTTCTGAATATTTTTTTATTATTGAAAAGAATACACACACATAAACAAATGAAGTTGACATATTAAGCCAGAAAAAATAAAAAAATTAAAATCATATGGTAGTTGTGCCCTACCTTAAATTCATTGTACCATGGAAGTACCTTTATATGGGGTTTTAAAAACAATATAATATATATAATATACCAAACTGCGGATATATGTCCCATTTTCAATGCCAACAATTCTACGGACATAAAATATATTTGAACGAGATATTATTTATTTACTTTATTCCGTTGTAACATAAAGATCTGAGTATTTAATTCGATTACCAAGATTGACTTTCCCGGGCAAATAAAAAACATAAAATCTACAAGCGGACCTGTAGTGAGATTATTTTCTACCACACCGCACTTTTCCAAATTCCTTATTAAATAAAAACACTTGTAGGCCTTGATTTTTTGTTAATTTTATTTGACTTTTTTGTAATTATTTAAAAATATATTTTTTTAATATTAAAAATACATTACTTTTGAAGAGAATTTTTTTGTTAAAAAATACCTTGGTTGAAATATGTATGACCACGAAAAAAAGGAGTTTTTAAACTTAAACAAGAGATGCAGACGTGAGAAGAGAATTTGAAAGTCACGACGATGATGGATTCGGACAAATTTGAAATGTTGTTTAGCAATAAAACGGAGAAAATACAAATGATATTGAACTTTAAATAAGTCTCTCGGATTTTAATTGCAAGCCGTTAGAAATATAGTAAATATGTAAGTATGTCTAACCATATATCAATGAATTGTTTATTTAAATTGCTAACAATTGCCAGATCAGCTGTAATTTCTCATCGCCATCATCATAACCTTCGTTCCCTTACATCCTTCTCACGTTGTCAAGTTTTTTAAAAAAAGAATTTTTAATTGTATGTCTTAAATACACTTAGAAGCTAATCAGGACTTTTATTGCAACATTTTGCTCTTATTAAAAAAAGTAGTAATAATAAAAACTCTTAAAATCTTGCATGAAGAAGAAGAGAAGTACACTTTTACAAAAATCTCATAGAGGGCAATCGAATGATGAACAATCCAATTCGATCATCTCGAATCGCCGCCAAGAGATGATTTATGTCTTTAGTTTTTAGTAGGTTTTTTGTTTTCGTTTTTTTATAAAAGAGGATGTTTTTGTTGTTGGTGTTGGTTTCCTGGGCATTACTTAAAAGTTACGCACACCAGTACCATAATTAGCACCACCGGCACGATTTAAAGCTTCACGGAAAAGTTCAATGTCCAATTCATTGTCAACGCCAGCTTGCAATTCAACAGCAAAATTCTGCAAAACAAAGTGGTATGATTAATATTTATTCTATTAATTCGCGCATATTTTGCTTTACTTACATTTAGCACATCTTTAATAATAGCCTTATCCGTTGACATTTTAGCCCTTTGTATGACACCGACATCTTGTCCGATCCAGGTGAGGAAAATGAATTTTTTTCTCTTGGACATTTCATCGCCCATTTGGATGCGTATATAGCCGAATGCACGTTCATTGTCACCGAACTGTTGGCGGAACTCCTCAAAGCATTGGCCACGTACCGAGCAGGTTATTCTGGGACCATCGAATTTGAAAACGGCCCTGTAATTAGAGGAGGAGGATATATTTTAGAGTTAATTTTTCATTTAATTACAAAAAATAATTGAGAAATGAATAGGTCTTGCATAATTCCATAAAAGTAGATTTTTTTAGAACTTCAATCGTAGATTTTAAAAAAGAATATTTCGGAATAATTTGGAAAATAATATTTTTGTTGGACTTTTGAAGTTATAATTGGGAATTTTTAAAAATAATGTTTTTGATTAACGCGAATTTAAAAGAAATGACATTTCAGTGACTTTTTGGCCGACGGTTTCGGTTGGGCCGTCATTTTAAAAAAGATGGTGTGATGGGTTAGTGGACCTATAATCGTGGACTTAGTGAAGAATTTTTGATTCTTCTAATTTTTTCTTGAGGACTTCCTGACATAAAGACTTTGATTAAAAAAAAAAAACCTTGGATTAAAAGAAAATATTTTTCTAGAGCTTCTTTTCGTGGTCATCTGACCAAATAAACCGTGGACTTTCTGACCAATGGGTTTTAAAAAATAGGTTTTTTATACACAAGAATTGTGGATTTTGTAATAAATGGTCAAATTCTGAAACTAGTTTAAAACTTCTGGACTTTTGGATTTTCATACCCTCAGCCATATGGCTACAGAGGGTTTATATCATTTGACACGGTCAAAACGTCCCTCATCGAAAAAACGGTTTTAGACCCTAGGTCTCTTTGGACCAAATCCGTTTCAGGACATTTGGAGTCGAGCTAGCGATGTCCGTCCGTCCGTCTGTCTGGCTGGTGCGCACAATAACTCTCGAAGGGAGTATACGATTTTATCCAAAGTTGGTACATCGTTATATTATTGCCAAATTTAGATCGAGTTCGGATATGGACAATATCGGTCCACTCCTTCCGGTACCTCCCCCACAAAATGTCAACATTTTCAAAGAAAATAATTTACTGCATAGAAAGAGAAAGTTTAATCCGATTTTGCTCCAGCTTTGCGAATCCTAATATTTGCATTAGTGCTAGCTGAGTTGTGAAAATTGGGAATATCGGTCCACTCCATCAAGTACCTCCTCCTACCTACCAAAGGGTCAACATTTTGAATAATTATAACTCTTAAAAAATGTGATGTATGAGTCAGATTATCTTCAAATTACATATATCCAAATATTTTTATTAACCCAAAGTCTGGTGCGAAGATGAGAAATATCGATCCCCTCCTTCTGGTACCTCCCCTACAAAGGCTCAACATTTTGAATATCCATAAAGCTCCTAAAACGCGAAATTAACATCCGATTCCATTCAGACTTGGTAAATCTCAATATTTTTATCTACACAAGATCTGTTATAAAGATGTTAGAGATCGGACCATTCCTTCTGCTACCTCCCCCACAAAGGGTTAAAATTTTGAATAACCAAAACGATCATAAAATCCGAAATAAGCATCCTGTTCTCTTCATATTTCACACATCCCATTATTTCTACTAACACAAGATCTGCGGCGAAGATGGAATATATCGATCCCCTCCTTCTGATACCTCCCCCACAAAGGGTTAACATTTTGAATATCCACGAAGCTCCTAAAACGCGAAATTAACATCCGATTCCATTCAGACTTGGTAAATCTCAATATTTCTATCTACACAAGATCTGTTATAAAGATGTTAGAGATCGGACCATTCCTTCTGGTACCTCCCCCACAAAGGGTTAAAATTTTGAATAACCAAAACGATCATAAAATCCGAAATAAGCATCGGGTTCTCTTCATATTTCACACATCCCATTATTTCTACTAACACAAGATCCGCGGCGAAGATGGAATATATCGGTCCACTCCTTCTGGTACCTCCCCTACAAAGGGTCAACATTTTGAATATTTATGAAGCTCATAACACCCGAAATTATCATCCGATTTCATTCAGACTTGGCATATTTGAATATTTCTATTAACACAAGATCTGTTTTAAATATGGTAGAGATTGGACCATTTCTTCTGGTACCTCCCCCACAAAGGGCCAAAGTTTCGAATAACCGAAACGATTATTAAATCCGAAATAAGCATCCGGTTCTCTTCATATTTCACACATTCCATTACTTCTACTAACACAAGATCCGCTGCAATGATGGAATATATCGGCCCACTCCTTTTGGTACCTTCCCTACAAAGGGTCAACATTTTGAATATTTATGAAGCTCATAAGACCCGAAATTAACATCCGATTCCATTCAGACTTGGTAAATCTCAATATTTCTATCAACACAAGATTTGTTTTAAAGATTGTAGAGATCGGATCATTCCTTCTGGTACCTCCCCCACAAAAATAACCGAAACGATTATTAAATCCGAATTAATCATCCGTCTCTCTTTATATTTCACACATCCCATTTTTTGTTAACACTAGATCTGCTGTCAATATCGGCGCACTCCTTCTGGTACTTTCCCCACAAAGGGTTCAAAACTTTTATACCCTCCACCTTGGAAAGGAGGGTATATTAACTTTTGTAACATCCTTAAATATTCGTCTTAGACCCCATAAAGTATATATATTCATAATCAGCATAAAATTCTAAGTCGATTTAACGATGTCCGTCTGTCTGTCCGTCTGTTCGTCTGTCTGTCTGTCTGTTGAAATCACGATACAGCGTACATTATTTGACGTAGAGCGCCAAAATTTAGCAGATCAATTTACATTGTGTCTAGGATGGTTGGTATTGAAAATGAGATATATCGGTCCACGTTCTGGTATAGTCTCCATATAACGGTACCTCCCGATATTCGGTAATTTGATGATTTTTGTCACATTTTTTCACGGATTTGTCTGAAAATTGGTATTTGTTGGTCATAACGGGTCCCTGAGCGTGTGGCAAAACATTGCATGTATAGGCCCACGTTGTGGTATAGCCCCCATATAACGGTACCTCCCGATATTCGGTAATTTGATGATTTTTGTCACATTTTTTCACGGATTTGTCTGAAAATTGGTATTTGTTGGTCATAATGGGTTCCAGCTCCGGTGGCGAAACATTGCATGCATGATTTGATATAGCCTCCATATAACGGTACCTCCCGATATTCGGTATTTTGATAGTTTTTGCCACATTTTTTCACTGATTTGTCTAAAAATTGGTATTTGTGGGTTATAATGGGTCCTAGTTCGTGTGGCGAAACATTGTAATTATAGGTCCACGTTTTGGTGTAGCCCCCATATAACGTTACCTCCTGATATTCGGCATTTTAATGGATTTTGCCACATTTCTTCTAATATTTCTTTTACCCTAAGGTGGAGGGTATTAAAAGTTTGGCCCGGCCGAACTTAATGTTTTTTACTTGTTTTTTTTTTTTTTTAAATTGAAAAACAAAACGCTCATTAAATGCGAAATAAACATCCAACTGTCTTTAAATTTCATTTTGCTAACGCAAAATCTGTTGTTAAGGTGATAGATGTCTGCCAACCCGTTCTGGTACCTCAACCACAAAGGGTCACAATTTCCAGTTTAGTAACTCCATAATTCAAAATTCCCATAAAAAGTATAGAAGTAGACGATGTACGTTCTAATATTTATATCAGACTTAGGTCAGATACAAATTGGACAATATTGGCCAACTACTTCGGAAACTCCCCATAAAGGGTCAAAAGTTAGAATAATCATAAATCAAGGCTGAGGTTATGCATCTGTCGGCAAAACCGACTGATACTATTTAACTTGTTTTTTTTATAAAATCCTGAATACCTACCATTCTGTGTCTGTGAGATCTGAGCGCACATCTTCATATGCTTCACGTATGGCATCCTTGTCCAATGATGTAGCCATGGGCATCTAAAAGAAAAAAAAAAACAAAATTAATAAATTACAAAAAAACACACAAAAAAAAAATAAGTATTGGTTTCGAAGTTATAAAAAAAATTACAAAGAAAGCTAATGAAAAGAAAGGAAGGAAGGAAATGATTACCGAAGCGATGTTAATCTAAAATACCAATAAACGGAATATGTATGTAAATATGCATGTGTCCATGGATGGGTGATGTAAAACACAATAAATATTACTTCCTTTCGCCAAGAAATAATAAACAACAGAGAAAAATATGAAATAAATAACCGAAAAAAAAAAACAAAAAAAGCAAATAAATTTTATATTTCCTCGACTCGATTGATGACCATCAACCTACCTACCCACAGCAGATAAACTCCGGCGGACAGTCGACGTCAATGAATTTTTGATGAGTTGACCGTACGTGATAAACTTGAAAACTTCATTGAGAGAGGCAGCTAGGCGTTTGTACAATAATATATGGCTATATACAGGTTCATAGAGCGGCAGAGGAAGGAAGGTAGATGTGTAGGGGGTAATTTGTTTCAAGTTGCAACAGTTATTGTTTGATGTTGGTGCATCCGAGGCCGGCCTTACAATTGTGGATAATGAATAATAAGCGCAATTTCAGTTTAGTGGAATATTATACCTCACACACACACACACATCGATATACCGGCAATAATTCAATACCCAATGCATTGCTGCTTACAAATCAAATATTTTTTTTTTTAATTTACGACACAAAGAAAATTATCGAAAAAAATTGAATTTGGAGAAATATCCAAACAAAGTGAAAAACCTTATATGCCAATTTGGGTTATAAACAATTAAATTGTTAAAAAAAAAACAAGCAAACCGAACATAAATTCTAATAAAAATTATATTCGTTGTTGTGAAAGCTAAACTGCCTTATAAGGAGGCATTTGAATTGAGTTATAAAATGCATTTTCGGTGTGCATGATTGTTTTTTTTTTTCGACAAAATTGAAAAATAAAAATTGTTTCCTTAAATGACTTGAGGCATTCAATGCAATCTGGAAATACTTGGATTATGGAATTTAAACAAAGGCAGTGGATTCCAAATAGAATTGGGAAAAAAGTCTACAGGTTTTTGTAGTATTTTTTTATACCCTCATGGAGGGTATATTAAATTCGTCATTCCGTTTGTAACTCATTGAAATACTCATTTTAGACCCAACAAAGTATATATATTCGTGATCAGCGTAAAATTTAAATCCCATTTATTCGATGTGTCCGTCCGTCCTTCCATCTACTGAGATAACGCTATCTTCCAAAGGAATTGAGATAGGGTGCTGAAATTTATTACATATGCGTTTTTGGTTAGAACTAATATCAAGTTCGAAAATGGGCTATATCTGCCATCTTTTTTGTATAGCCCACATATAACGATACCCCATCATTTTAAGCATTTATACGACTTTCGGCACATTTTTAACTCAATTGTTTGGAATTTGGTATTTTATGATTGTACAATATATATTCTGATCGATATGGTCATTTTTATACCCACCACCATAGATAGTATGGAGGGTAAGTAAGTAGTAAGTTCGTCATTCCGTTTGTGTTAATAATTTAAGATCCAACAAAGCATATATATCTTGATCAGCGTAAAATTCTAAGACGATTTAGCCCTGTACGTCCATCCGTCTGTTCGACTGTTGTAATCACGCTACAGTCAAAACGAATTAAGTTATGAATAAGCGAAAATTTTGCACAGGTCTGTCTTTTTTCTGCAGGCTGGTCAAATTCGAAGATGGGCTATTTGGGTCCACGATATCGTATACCCCACATATAGCGGTGCCCCCGATATTCGGTATTTTGATGATTTCAGCCAATCTTTTAATGGAATTGTCTTAAAATACACACAAGGGGCTCCTTTTGAGTAATTTACCCCTGATCAAGAATTGCCTATCGTATATCGATACTCCCCGATATTCAGTATTTTTATGATGTCAGCTAAAATTTTCAATGAAATTGTCTGAAAATCCGCATAAGGAGTTCCTTGTGAGTACTTTATTTCTTAGAAGAGAATTGTCTATATAGGTCCACGATATCGTATATCCCCCATATAACGGTACCTTGTGATATTCGGTATTTTGATGATTTTTGCGACATTATTTATCGGAAGTGTTTCAAATTTCATATATAAAGTTCGGAATCGTTACTACGGCCTATGACACAAATACTTATGCTTACATATAGCCCTCACATTGAGTGAGGGTATAAAAAGTTCGGTCAGGCCGAGCTTAGCTCCTTTTTTACTTGTTGAAGTTTCTAATGGTTGTCTAACTTTTTGATTCAGGTCCTCATTTTGACTTTCTATATATTATTAAAAGGGTATCAAAGTTCGGCCCGACTGAACATACTAACTTTTTATACTCTCTCTTTTTATACTCTCAGGTTATATCATTTAATACGGACAAAACGTGCCTAGTCGAAATAACGGTTTAGAGTCTCTTTGGACCAAATCCGTTTCAGAACATTTGGAGTTGATCTAGCGATGTCCGTCCGTCTGAATGGTGGTGCGCACGATAATTCACAAAGGGAGTATCCTATTTGGTCCAAACTTGGTACATCGTAAAATGTTTGCCAAACTTAGATCGATTTCGGAGATGGACAATATCGGTCCACTCCTTCTGGTACCTCGCCCAAAAAAAGGTGGAAATTTTCAAAAGACATATTTTCTGCACAGAAAGAGGCTCTATAATCCAATTTTGCTACAACTATGCAAATCCTAATATTTCCGTCAGTGCTAGGTCAGGTACGAAAATGGACAATATCGGCCCACTCCATTCAATACCTCCACCATAAAGGGTCAAAATTTCGAATATATATCCCTTTTAAAATGTAATATAAGAGTCTGAGTGTCTTTAAATTATTAACCCAAGGTCTGGTGTGAAGTTGGAATATATCGGTCCACTCCTTCTGGTACCTCCCCAACAACGGAGTCAAAATTTTAAATAACTATGATGCTCTAAAAACGCGAAATGAGCATCTGTTTATTTTCAAATACCGTACATCCCAATTTTTCTACTATCACAAGACCTGGTGTGGAGATTGGATGTATCGGTCCACTACTTCTAGTACCTCCCCCACAAGGGGTCAAAATTTTGAATAATTATATCTCTTATAATTTGCGAAATAAGCATTGGATCCTATTCAGATTTCACACATCTCAATATTTCTATCAACACATAATCAGGTGTGAAGATAGGATTTATCGGTCCACTCCTTCTAGTACCTCCCCAACAACGGGGTCAAAATTTTTTAATAACTGTGAAGCTCATAAAACGCGAAATGCTACTTCTATCAATACATAATCAAGTGTAAAGTTGAATACATCGGCCCACTCCTTCTGGTACCTCTCATACAAAGGTCAATATTTTTAATAATTATATCTGTTATAATTTGTGAAATATGCACTCGATTCTATTCGAATTTCACGCAACCCAATATTTTTACTAAAACAATATTTGTTGTGACGATGATAGATATCGGTTCGCCACTTCCTCCCACACATAGGGTACCAATTTTTAATATTTATGTCTTTTATAAAAAAGTCAGCGATTCTTTTAAAGTTGGGAACCTGAGATCTGATGTAAATATAGAATTCATCGGTTCACTTCATCTGGTACCTCCCCCACAAAAGGTTTTAATTTTGATTAATTATTGGCATAATCTTGAAAATAAATGTTAGATACTCAACCCAATATTGTTTTCAGTCTTAGATGAAGTGGAACACTTCGGTCCACTATGTCTGGTATCTCACGCACATTTCTTGATTTTCAAAAATTTATTACATTTCTCATGCAAAGGTGAATGAAGTAGTCGGTATAGCCCAAATCTGGAATATTTATATCAGACTCCTTCGGAATTTCCCCCATAAAGGGTTAACAGTTGGAATAATCATAACGCGAATCAAAATATATTTAAATATAGGAACAGTGGCTGAGGGTATATACCTGTCAACAAACCCGACAGATACTTTTTAACTTGTTCTTGGAAGAAATTAAGGAATTCTCCGAAAGCCAAAAAAAAAAAAAAACACATTCACATCTTCATTATGGACAGAAATCAACCGAGTGGTGTGACGTAAATAACAACCCTGGTCTCTCTCTTTATATCTTTACACTCCCGTTAGATTTGTAAAATTTTGCATTGCTAAATTACTTTTGCAACTGAATCCTGGTTTGGCAGTTGTTTTTTGTTGTTGCCATCTGCTAATTAATACCTTTTTGATTGCATGAACTAACACACAAACAACACTAACTTCGTAATTTCTTTGTTTCTTCCAAAAAATTGCATGATTTTCATTATGGAAGTTTTGCGTTTTTGCCGTAATTTTAACTTCTTTTTTCGATTTGTTAACAAATTTTAAACTTTCGTTTTCAATTTCATGGCGTTGAATTGCATTTGTTTTTATTTTTGAAGTAATTTTTATGTTTTTATTTTCAATTGGATTTTCTTGGATTGTTTTGAGCGTAAAGTTTCAACACAAAATATGACTTCAACAGTTGCCTTGAAAAAACGAGGCACTGAAACTGAAAATTATATCAGACACTTTAAAACTTATTTTGAATGACCGCTTGAGAGTGTGAATAATTCTTATAATTCGATCTAGAATAAAACTTACTTTGACACTTTCCTCAAAAACAAAAAAAAAAAATAAGGACAAAAGGTTTCGACGCGGATTGGATACGCCTTAAAATTACCGTTAAAAACTTAAGACAGAATCAGAATTTTCTTAAAAACTATTATACCTAGACGTATGATTTATTCTGAGATTTATAGTGAAATTTTGTGCAAAATATTTCTTTCTTCGACATTTTCCGCCTAGAACGAAATTTTATGCTACTTTCCAGCCTCAAGTCGAAAAATGTCCAAGGAAATTTAATCAAAAAATATGGAAATATTTTCAGGTCTTTTTTTTGGTGCAAGTATTTATTTATTTTTTTTTTTTTTCTGCTGAATAATGGAAATTTAAT